CCCCCCCGCCCCACGGAGCGCCCCCGTTACCGTAAGCCCCGTCCGGCTCCTTCTCCATCGCTGGCCCGGACCCCGCGGGCGGCTGCGTTCACCAGCACCCGGCGCCGCCGCCGCTCGCCCGGCACAGCCCGGGGGCCGCCGGGGGGGCGGGGCTTGAGGACACACCCCCAGAGCTCGGCTGCCCGGTCGCCTGGGTCCTCCGCCGCCTGCCTGGGGAGGGGCAGAGAGGGGTTGCGGTCCGCTGGGGCAAGGCCATATAGCCCCATGGCCGCCCCATCCCGTCAGTCCGTATAGTCCAATATCCCCCCTCCTGCAGCCTCGGACTGGACCACAGTCCATATAGATCGGGCCATATAGCCCAGTATGGAACCTCCTGCCATTACAGATCAGACCTTCAGTCCACATATCTCATCTTCCACCCTCGATCAGCTCAGCGGTCGCTACTGGCCGATATCTCCCTGCCTGCCAGTGCCACGCCAGGGTGGGCCATCAGGCCATACAGTCCAGCACCCTCCTTCCTGCCCTGCAGGATCGAGCCCTTACAGGTCCGCTGGCCCACTTGCCCGCCCCCTGCTGCGCTGGAGAAGATACCCCAGTGATGCGCCCCGGACAAGACCCTAAACAGCCCGGAGCAGCAGCACGGGTCCGTCCAGCTCGTTAAGCGGCTCCATAGGGGACCAGGCCTCAGACCTCAGTATCCACAACTCTTCCCTAATGGATCTGACTTACAGGTCGATACAGGCCAGCACCCCATGTCCTGCCATACTATATAGACTGTTGCTGGTCCATATAGTCCAGAATCCCATGTCCTGCCATATAGATTATTATGGGTCCATATAGCCTGATATCCCAGCTGTATCAGATGAGGCCAGCGGTCCGTGTAGACGCATCCCTGCGGCCTGTCAGAACAAATCAGTCCATAGAGTTTGAATTTTTTTTAATGAAAACTCATTGTTAATTTCACTCCCTGCATCAGCTCAGCAGGAGGGGAGGGGGCACTGGTCCCAGGCACTGAGACCCCCCCAGGACCCGCCCCTTGCATTAGATCCCCCCCTGCTCCTCCTTGGGTCTCAGCAGTGCATAGCCCCTACAGCCCTATAGGGCCCGTGAGCTGCACACAGGGATGTCAGTGCCTGCGAAGGAGCCAGCCGGCCACATTTCCTGTGCGCTGCTTGGCCTGTGATCCTGGCTGTTATGACAAGAACTCACAACCACAACCCCACCCAGCCGCAGTCCTGCTGCCTCCCTCAGATCCAGGAATGCTTGTGAAAGGCAAGCAGCTCTTCCCGATGTGGCCTGGAACTGCCTTGCTCGCTGACCCCCTCCAATTACCCTGGGCGTGGGCCCTGCTGCACCGTGGGTCGTCCCCCCTGACAGAACGTGCTTGTACCCACCCAAATATACACCGTGCAATTACAGAGACATGCTGAGCATGGAGGGCTCTGTCCCTGGGCAAAGAGCCCAGGGCTTGGCACCAGCATCTGCCCACACTGCCCAGCACAGAGCGATTGCCTGCTTCTGATTTCTTCCTGAGCTTCCCCTTATTATTATATAGGTACCTCAGCAGTGCCGAGAGGCCCCAGCCGACACCAGGGCCCCGTCGTGCCGGGCGCTGCACAAACCTCGACCAATATCGGGGCCCCGTCGTGCCAGGCACTGCCCAGAAAATCAGTCCCCATTTCCAATCTAAAGAGACCAGACAGACCGAGCGGGAGAACAGCAGGCTCACTCTCATTTGACAGAGGGGGAATGGAGAGAGATGCAGGGACAGGCCCAAGGCCCCACAGGAGAGTCTGGGGCAGAGCTAGGAACTGTCCCTAGATCTCCTGGGTCCTACCCCAGCACCTGGGCCGTCAGTCCATCCTTCCTCCTCATCCCTTCTTGGCTCTGTGCTGCCAAGCCCCAGGGTTCACTTCCCAGACAGACTGATCTCTGCACCTCCCTGAATTCCTTGGGGGCAGCCGCAAGGCTCCTGCACTGGGCACCCCTGAAGAGATCCCAGGGTGCAGTCGCAGCATAGCGTGGGCATGGAAACAGACTCCCTGGGTCCCTGAAAGGGGAGCACCAGCACCCCCTGCTGCCTCGCTTAGGAAACACATCACAAGGGTTATGTGGGGAAAGGGCAGGGGCTGGGCCCTTTGTTCATCTTCTAGCCAAGGGCTTCAGGTCCCTTGGAAAAGGGCGAGTCCCCTGCTCATGGGGGAGCCAGGCCCTGGCAGCTCGGGCTCTGCTTTCTGGAGCCGGGCACTCCATTAGCCCTGCGGGCAGCTTGGCTGCAGTGGAACCCGGGGGGCGCCCCCGATGCTGGGGTGACTCTGACTCTCCATCAGGCTGGTGCCAGGGGCAGAGATGCTCAAAGCTCCGAGTTCTGCCCCGTGGCACCAGCGCAGAGCCCCGGAGCAGCAGCCGAGCCGGACACCCACCCGGGCAGGGCCCGACGCCTGGGTTTGGGTTTTGTAACGGAATCGTCCCTGCGGCCCCTGGGTTCAGCTGCCTTCCGGCTCCCGGGGAGCAGAGCGGGCACACTTCGGGGAGGGGCCGTGCCTGCTGCAGCACACAGCCAATAACAAACAGGCCATGCCCACGGCACTGCATATGAAGTGCTGCCGAATGGCAACAGCCGAGCAGCACCTGGCATGGAGGCCCCCCCCCCCCCTCAAGCTGGAGGGAGCAGATCTCCTCTCCGCTGAGGTTGCTGGCAAGGAGGTGCCAACCAGGGGGATGGTGTCTGGGAGGTGGGCACCCACCCCACTAGGAGATGGGCTGAGAGCTGGAGCAGGGGAAGGCCCCGAGAGTCCCGTGCCGCTGCTGGGCTGGGGAGAGGAGGGAATCGGAGCCGGCCCACGCACATCATACCCCACAGACACTGCGGCTTAGTGGGTGGGGCACTGGGCTGAGACTCAGGACACCCGAGTTCCATTCCTGGCCTTGCCACTGCCCTGCCGGGTGACCGTGGGCAAGTCACATCCCTCTCTGGGCCTCTATTTCCCTGCCCAGGCTTTGGCTCTTTAGGGAATCTCTCTCATGCTGTGTCCATACAGCACCTGGCCCCAGGGGGGTCCTGGATCTTGGTGGGGGTCTGGGCAGCGCCAGGCCCCAGGGGGGCCTCGGATTTGCTCAGGGCTTCTAGACACTCCTGTGAGACTCTTCAGCGGGAAATGGCATCGGCTGCATGAGCTCCCACAGCTCCAGCTGCCACCCGCCTGCATTCCCCGGCTCATGCCATGCTGCTGAGCGCAGCCTGGCTCCCACGCCCCTCCGCATCCAAGCCGCATAGCCCGGCGCAGAGGAGGCTGGATTCCGGCTGGCACTGGCCCTGCCCAGCACAGGCCCCCATTGTCCTGGCTGGCGAGGTCGCCCGGCCCGGGGCTGGAATGCGCCCGCGTGGGTGGCTGGGGAATTCTTGCCAGGCCAGGGCCCTGGGCAGAGCAAGGAGTTTGTGGAGATTCCCCTGCCCCAGGCCACCCCCTCTCCTGCCCCCCATCTTTCCACAATGCTCCCCAGCTCCCTTACCTCCTTGTCCCACCCCCAGCCTGCCCCCCTCTCCCTGGCCACCCCCACACACTGACAGCCCCAGGGCTTGGCTCTGCCTGCCCCCCCTCCCCCGGGAATGACCCCCAGGTGCTAAGCAGGGGGCAGGGGTTTGGGGCAAAGCACTGAGGGGGGTTCGCTGGACACTTGGAGGGCAGAGAGGATTCCTCCAGCCCAGCCCCCTGGAGCTGCAGCCCAGAGGACAGGCCAGCTGCGGGGCAGACCCATGGGGGCAGGGGGGCACAAGCACCATCTGTCCCACAGCCTGTGGGCCCAGGTGTGCCAGGGGTTCCGTGCGCCCCCACCCCAGGGCGCCTCTGTGGCCGCCTCCCTCCTTCCTGTCGGCGGATATGTGTCACTTCCCCTTTAAGGGGCCAGCTCACCTGTGGGCGCAGCTCCCTCACCTGGCCCTGCGGGGAGCCAGGAAGGAGGAAGCTGCGCACAGGCCGGGAGGGGGCCAGGCCAGGATCATGTCAGCCTCCGCTGTCTTCGTCCTGGACCTCAAAGGCAAGGTGAGCCCTGCTGCTCCCCCCACCCAGGCCTCCAGCCCCCGACCGGCTCGGCCTGGGCAGCTGGGTCGGGGGGGGGGGGCACTTTGCAAATGGTCCCTAAAGGGAGGCTGGAAAGAACCCCCAGCATGCTCTGCCCTGGTCCAGTGCCACCCCAGCCCCCACTCTGAACTGGCCGTGGAAACTGAGGCACGGGGTGGGGGAAGGAAACTCGCCCATGGCCACAGAACCAGATCTAAGAATAGAACCCAGGAGTTCTGCTGTCAGGCCCCTGCTCCAATCACCAGACTCCACTCCCCTCCCAGAGCTGGGGAGAGAACCCAGGAGTCCAGCTTCCAGCCCTCCCCCCTAACAACTAGACCCCACTCTCCTCCTAACGTCCTGGCTCCCAGCCCCCCTGCTCTGACTAGCAGATGAGATGTGGGGAGGAGCATGCTGTGAAGGGATGGGGGGACATCCCACTCCCCACAGGGTCCCGTGAAGGTCACAGAATGGCCAGAGCAAAGTGAGACTGGCCAGCCCCGAGGCCCAGCCAGCCCATCTCCCAGCCAGATGCCCAGCTCCAGCTACACCAGGGGCAGGTGCGGGAACAACCTGCCCCACGAAGGCCTCGTCCGACCCTGATGGAGCTCTGGGCTCTGCTCACCTGGGCTCTGGAGGGGCTGACAGGCCATGCGGGGCAGGGGGCTGCGTGGGTGCTGTGGGGGAGCTGGGCAGAGTGTGGGAGGCCAGAGCAGAAGGGGGATTCCCTGCTTAGGGGACTCCACCAGGCTACTCACCTGAAATGAATGGAAGAAAGAAAGGTCACAAAATCCTCAGCCCATGGTGGAACAGGGCGAAAGCTTCACTGTGGGGAGTGGGTCCCCATGGATGGCGGGGCTGGTGCTCTCCTGCAGGGGTCCCCATGGGGGGGCTCCCTCAGGCCTGTCCCCACGCACCCCCAGCCTCTCCGTCCCACAGCCGCTGATCAGCCGGAACTACAAGGGGGATGTGAGCATGGCAGAGATCGATCACTTCATGCCGCTGCTGATGCAGAAGGAGGAGGAGGGGGCCCTGACCCCGCTGCTGACCCATGGCAAAGTCCACTTCCTCTGGATCAAGCACACCAACCTGTACCGTATCCTACCAGCGCTGGCTGCCGCCCTGCCCTCCCCTGGGCATCCCCCCCCCACCTTCACAAGCTCTGGTGCCCATGATCTCCTGGTGCTGTGTCCCCAAATGGACGACGCTAACTGGCAGATGCCTGACCCCTCTCCCCCCGGCAGGTCCCTCCTGGGGCAGGAGTGGGCGTATGGGCAGAACGTGGCACCCTGCTCCCCAGAGTGACCCCCCCCTTTCCTTAACTCGCCCCACAGTGGTGGCCACCACCATGAAGAACGCCAATGCCTCGCTGGTCTACTCCTTCCTCTACAAGGTGGTGGAGGTGAGCGACGCGGGCGGTGCTGGATCCAATGGGGGTGCGTCCCTGCGGCGCCTCCTGCTGGGCGGCGGGAGGGGCTGCAGCCTCAGCGTCATGTCCCCGGGACCCCGCTTCAGTTGAGCGGAGCAGGGTTGGAAGAGCCAATGATGTCTGCACGGGGAGGCAGCAAAGCCCTGGATATTGGAGCTCTGCCTGATCCCAGAACAGATTCACTTGATTCCCCCTCACCCCCACCCCAGCCTGGCAGCACCCAGCTCCATGTGATCCCAGAACAGATCTGCTTGGCCCCCCCAGCATCACCCAGCTCTGCCTGATCCCAGAACAGATCCGCTTGATTCCCCCTCCTCCCTGTGCCTGGCCTGGCACCACCCAGCTCCATGTGATCCCAGAACAGATCCACTTGGTCACCCCCTCCCACCCCCATGCCTGGCGTGGCTTCGCCCAGCTGACTGAGTGGGGCCAGGGGTTATTCCCGGGGAAGGGAGATCCTACCTCGGCCCCTAGGAAGAGGCCGGCGAGCGAGCGGCGTCTGAAGTGGCTAGTGCTCCTGCCCCTCTCCCAGGTTTTCTCCGAGTACTTTAAGGAGCTGGAGGAGGAGAGCATCCGAGACAACTTCGTCGTCATCTACGAGCTGCTGGATGAGCTGATGGATTTCGGGTTCCCCCAGACGACTGACAGCAAAATCCTCCAGGAGTGAGTAGCCCGGGCAGGGGCCAGTCGATTCACGTGGCTGGGCCCGGGAAGGCGGCCAGTGAAAATAAGGCAAATGGAGAAGCTCAGGAAACGGAGGCTAGTACAGAGAGAGGAGTTTCCTGTCGGGTTCATGGGGCTGGACCTCTGGCGCGGGTGTAACTAGGATCTCTCCGGCCAGGGGCAGAGTGGGCAGCAAAGCCTGTGCCCCGGGGAGGAGATGGGCTCTTTTAACCGGGCGTCATCCCCAGGTACATCACCCAGCAAGGCAACAAGCTGGAGACCGGCAAGTCCCACGTGCCCCCCACCGTCACCAACGCCGTGTCCTGGCGCTCCGAGGGCATCAAGTACAAGAAGAACGAGGTTTTCATCGATGTCATTGAGTCAGTGAACCTGCTGGTGAGCGGGGGGGGGGGGCGGCCCTGGGGCCACAAGGGAGATGGGCCAAGGGATCCCGGGGGCTGGAGACGAGACTCCAGCCTTGGCTCCCTGCCCTGGCTGGTGGCTGCCCAAGCCCCCCAACCCAGCTTGCCAGGAGCCCCGGCGTGCGTTGGGGCCGTGGCCGGCTCCTGGGGGCAGGGCCCAGGCCCAGCACCGAGCCCGGCCAGCGCGGAAGAGGGGAACAGGGTCCCTCCGCTGACCACGCTCCCGGCCCCCCAGGTGAACACCAATGGCAGTGTCCTGCTCAGCGAGATCGTGGGCACCATCAAGCTGAAGACGTTTCTCTCCGGCATGCCCGAGCTGCGGCTGGGCCTTAACGACCGCATGCTCTTTGAGCTGACCGGGCGTGAGTACCCGGGGTGCCCCGGCTTGCCCCTACCACGGCTTAGCCCCTTCTGCCCAGGGCGGAGAGCACGCACAAGGGGAGGGGGGCTCCCTGTGTGGAGGGGCAGGCTGACCCCACAGCTGCTCCCCCCACACTTATGGCAGAGCTCCCTTTAGCACCTGGAGTTATTGTAGGCCCTACATAAACTGTGTCTTGGTGTCGCGGGGCGACGACTCACCGCTGCAGCGCTGCCTGCTGGTTGCCCAGGGAATTAGCTCTTTTCAGGCAGGAGCGCCCTCTGCCGGTCCTTGTCTCGCCTGCCGCTGGCCCCATGCCCCTCCCAGACCCCTTCTAGCCTAGGGCTCTGCCCCCTGGCAGTACCCCCTCAGTCTGGGGCCCCCCTCCCAGGGAACCCCCAACCCCCTATCCCTCCCTTGCCTCAGGGACTACGGTCAGTCATCGTCTAGCCCCCGCTCCCTGGGGCAGACGCAGTCCGCACCACTCGTCATCGGCAAGCGGGGTCGGACCAGCTGCCTCTGTCTAGGCCTGGGCTGCCCCTCTGCAGCCTTAGTACCCTTGTGTGGGCCTTTACCTCGGCCTGCAGCCTGGGGCTCTGCTAGGCTGGAGCGCCCCAGCTCCCTCTGCCCTTCCCTGGGTACCCCCTCAGCTTCCCCGGCAGCCAGGTCCTCCTCTCTCCAGGTAGCTAGAGGGAGTCTCTCCCCTTCTGGCCCACAGCCCTCTGATAAGGGCCAGCTGGGCCCTAACTACACGGGCGACAGCTGTGGCTGTTTTCCCTCTCAGCCCTCTCCCAGCGTGGCGGGGGGACCACCCCGCCACACTTGATGTTCAGCTTCTTATCACAGAGCAGTAGATCTTGAGTGTCTGCAGGGCTCCCCCCATCCAGTTGCACCCCCCCCAGCCCTTCTGCCACCCCCCTCACAGCTGCCCCCTCTGCTCGCCGCCGTTCCAGGTGGCAAGAACAAGTCGGTGGAGCTGGAGGACGTCAAGTTCCACCAGTGCGTGCGGCTCTCACGCTTCGACAATGACCGCACCATCTCCTTCATCCCGCCTGACGGAGACTTCGAGCTCATGTCCTACCGGCTCAACACGCAGGTGGGCAGGGGGCCTGCAGGGAGGGCACGGCACCACCCTCAGCACTGTGCCCCCTGCCCCGTCCGACACATGAGACTGGAGGGAGCAGGGGGCTGGGAGCCAGGACTCCTGGGTTCTGCCCCTGGCTCTGGGAAGGGGGTGGGGATCTCGTGGGTTGAAGCAGGACTCCTGGGTTCTGCCCCTCGCTCTGGGAAGGGGGTGGGGATCTCGTGGGTTGAAGCAGGACTCCTGGGTTCTGCCCCTGGCTCTGGGAAGGGGGTGGGGATCTCGTGGGTTGAAGCAGGACTCCTGGGTTCTGTCCCTGGCTCTGGGAAGGGGGTGGGGATCTCGTGGGTTGAAGCAGGACTCCTGGGTTCTGCCCCTGGCTCTCCCAATGACTCGCTGTGGGACTTTGAGCGACTCCCTTTTTGCCCCACTCCTGGGCACTACCCGGGGCAGGGGGGGGCCTGACTTTCCGTTCTCTCTCCCTGCGGGAAGGTGAAGCCCCTCATCTGGATCGAGTCAGTCATCGAGAAGTTCTCCCACAGCCGCGTGGAGATCATGGTGAAGGTGAGCCCCTGGACTGGGTGTGTGGGGTGACTGGGTGTGCCATGACCGGGTCCAAGGGCACCTCGATCCTTTGCGCCCCCCCAGATTTTCACACTGCTGTGCCAGATGCCCCAGAGCTAACGGGGTGTGCGGACTCCCCTTGGCCTGCACTGAGCCCCCCCCAAAACACCCTCAGCCTGCCAAGGAGAATGAACACCTACAGCTTTGTATGCCCCCAGTGGGGAAAGACTCTAGTGGGGAAGGAAGGCCTAGTGAGTAGGACGCTCCCTTCGACTCATGAGACCTGGGTTCAATTTCCTGCAGGACCCTGAGTGTGTCACTCACGCTGCCCCATGCCTCAGTTTTCCCATCTGTAACATGGAGTTAACATGTCCTTCCCCCTGGGGGCAGGAGGGTGGCTGTGAGTGGCTTGGACAGGCACCTAGACAGGAGACCTTTCCCCTAGCGCTCCTTGGGCTGCAGGGCCCAGTATCCTCATGGATGATGATAAGCCCCACCAATTAACTCCTCCGCACAGTAACTCTGCTGCCTTCCTGGCTGAGCAGCGGGAGGGTCTGATCTCATTCCCCCCCAGCCCCAGCTGGCTCAGCCCATGGGGTTGCTGAGCTGTGAAAGGGGACGCCCCTGACGCTGCGTTCCCCCCCTTGCCCTGGGAAGGCGAAGGGCCAGTTCAAGAAGCAGTCGGTGGCCAATGGTGTGGAGATCTCGGTCCCCGTCCCAAGCGACGCCGACTCCCCCAAGTTCAAGACCAGCGTTGGCAGTGCCAAGTACATGCCCGAGAAGAACATCGTCATCTGGAGCATCAAGTCGTTCCCGGTGAGAGAGCGGCCTTTGCCCTCCCCCTTATGCTGGCAAGGGCTGGGAGCTGGGACTCCTGGGTTCTATCCCTGGCTCTGGGAGGGGAGTGGGGTCCAGTGGTTAGAGCAACAGGTGCTAGGAGCCAGGACTGCTGGATTCTACCCCTGGCTCTGACACTGACTTTGCTAAGTAACCTTGGGCGAGTTACTTGCCCGCTGCCTGTCCTGGTCGAATCGATCCCCCAGGTCAGCCAGCTGTTCGCAGGGATGCGGGAAGGTGGGGAGGGGGCGCCCTGGGGTAATCTGCAGCCTTAGTTTCCCCATGAGGGCCATGCTTGTCTCCACAGGGTGGGAAAGAGTTCCTGATGCGGGCCCACTTTGGGTTGCCCAGCGTGGAGAAGGAGGAGGTGGAGGGGCGGCCGCCCATTGCTGTCCGCTTTGAGATCCCCTACTTTACCGTCTCTGGAATCCAGGTAAGCAGGAGCGGTCAGGGGGGTTATATGGAGGGAGGGGGGCTGGGTGTGGAGAGGAGAGAACTAGGAGAGTGGGGGGCAGGGTGTGTGGAGAGAGGGCCTGGGAAAGCCCGGGGTGGGGGGGCTATACCCTTTCCCATGCCATCACCCCTCCCCCTGCTCATGGTGCCTTCAATCCAAGCTGCCAGCCTCCCTCTCGCCCCACCCTGGTCTCTCCGCGCCATCCTGCCTATGACCGCCCCTGGCCCTGGGGGGGGTGGGGAGCTGGGGAAGATGAGCTGACGCGCTCTGGTTCCCACGTTCCTGCTGCGCGGCGGTTCTGTGGGCAAGCGACTCATCGGGGGAGCTGGACCCGGGACGGGGGAGCCCCCCCCCCGGACTGCAGCTCAGTTGCCAGAAGTGGGGCTCATTCCCCCTCCTCTTCCCTGAGCCTTCCTCTGCGGCAGGGGGCAGCCTGCGACCCTAATGCAGAGTCGGGGCTGTCGCGGGGGGCGGTGCTAAGGGAAATGCAGCGACTCTGCAGATGCGTTGGAGATGCAGGGAGGTCAGGCCAGGGCTGGGCTCTGCCCCAGCTCCTTGGGCAAGCCTGTGCCTCGGTTTCCCCCGGAGAGGGGCCAGAGGGGAAGGTCCCGGTGACTGGCAAGCTGGGGGGAGGGGGTACAGCTCTGAGCTGGGGGGAGGCTGGAGCAGTCCCCCAGTGGTGCCAGGGGAGGGCGGGAATGTCCCCACCAAATAGCCGCCTGCCTTGTGACTTCCTTCCCCGGCAGGTGCGCTACATGAAGATCATCGAGAAGAGCGGGTACCAGGCACTGCCCTGGGTGCGGTACATCACCCAGAGCGGGGGTGAGTCACCCAGGGGCTGTCCGGCTGTGGGGTGCGTTGGCCGGGGTCTGCCCTCTCAGCCCTAGAGGGGAGAAGCTCACTCTGTATCGGCCCCCCGGCCATGGGGGTGGGGGTCTACTGAGGGTGGGCGGATTCCAGGAAGGGTCACCAGGTCATGGTGCACTTTGCGCTCCCGTGATCCACTTGGCCCATTATGATCCCCAGCTCCGCATTTCACACGCACGTCTCCCTTTCTCGGTCCAGATTACCAGCTCCGGACCCAGTAGGCTCCAGCCGGGCGGCGAGGGATCCTGCGGCCCCACGATTGAAGGAGGCTGGAGCCCCCGGACCGCAGCGAGTGCCCTGTGAACCTAGAGAGGCCCTTTTAAGAGAGAATTTTGTGCATTTCCCCCTGGGCTGCTGTCCGCCGTCCTGCCCCCAGCTGCGGCTGAATTTCTGGCGACTCCCCTACCCCAGGGCCCGGTCCTTTCTCCCGACTTATCTATTGATTTATAAAGAGGAAATGAACCTCGCTTGGCTCTGAGGATGGTTTAGTGCCAGCTGCCAGGGGGGTGTCCGATGTGAATCGGGGAGGGGCTCTCCTGACCCCTTTGGGCTGGAAAGTGCCGCGGGTACCTGGGCGGGACTCGCAGAGGGCCCCGTTCTGCCCTCAGTTGCTCCCCACTGCAGTCAGCGGGGCTGGATATGCGTCCCTGAGCACAGGATTGGGCCCAGCAAGAAACCCAAGGGAGGACGACATAGCCCGAGAGCTGGGATGGGATCTAAACCCACCTGCTCCCGGGCATGAGCCAATCTCTAATGGGTCAGGAGGGCACTCCAGCACCAAGGAATCGCAGCACTGCAGGGCCCCGGGCCCCTTCCTTTGAAGCAGGAGTATCTGGCTGCTACAGGCCGGCCTCTGTTTGTACCGCCACGAATGGCAGCTGCGTGGGGGACCCCTATGTGTCATCCCTGCTATGGATCAGCTGGGGGGCAATCGGCCAGGAGGGGGCAGGAGGCAAAGAGCTGCGGCTGAGTTCTGCCCCGTCCCCTGCCAGCTCCATTTCCCCGGGCGAGGGTCTGACCCAGTGCTCGTGGGGAAAGGTAACTGGGGCCTGGCTCCAAACTGGCCTGCGGCTCCTCCCCGGGCCTGCTGGCTTTGCGGCGCCGTGTCCCGGCAAAGCTGGGGCTGAGGCGAGGGCGCGTCGGCCCTTCGCGCCGGGCGGCTGGAGCTGCCAGTCATCCTCACACAGCGGCTGCTCGCCCGAGAGCCGGGTATTAATGGCCCGGGCGTAAAGGCCGACCCCCCGCAGCTCGGCGCCTGGGCCGGGGGCGGAGGGGTGTGGGCAGGAGCAAGGCAGGATGGATGGCTGTGCTGAACGGGCTGGCATGGAGAGGAACATATCCTCCCTCTCTCGCCGGGGGGGGCAGCACAGGGGGAAAGGCCTGGGAATTTCCCCACTCTGGTAATGCAGTGCCCAGCTGGATCACAGGGGGCTGGCCCCCCATCTTCCAATGCAGCATGTGGGGCAGGTGCTTTGTCTGTCACGCTTCATGGGGGGGGGGCTGGGGCATGGCAGCTGGTCGCTGCCCGCCTGCCACAAGCGGCTGCTTCCTCTGGGCCGGTCCGGTGCTGCCCTGCCCCCCATGCAGGGTCTGCTGGGGATCCCTTCCCCACAGAGCATGGCTGGGGGGGGACAACCCAGGTCTGGGGGTGCCAGAACTTCTGCAAGGCTCCTGGCATTTGTGGGGGATCCATGGGATGGGGGGCTCCTAGCAGGTGGGGGGCAGAGAGCATGAGCTGGGGGCGGCTCCTCCGGTGGGGGGCTTGGCCACAGGGGGTCACTCAGCCTGGGGGGCTTGGCCCCAGGGGGGCCTAGAGTCTGTGAGTCTCGCAGCAGAAGGGGGGTCCCGGCCGCTGGGGCGGGGCGGGTCCCGGCTGGGGGGTCCCGGCCCCCCCCAGGGTGGTTCGAGGGGGTCCCGGTCACTCCGGCGCCGCCGCCTCCTTCCCGCCCGAAGCTGCGTTTGAATCAGGGAGCCCCGCCCTCCCCGCCGCCTGCCGGCGGCCAATCAGGAGGCGAGAGGCTCCAAGAGCTTGCCCGGAGCCGGGCTCCGATTGGCCACTCCGGGGGAGGGGGCGTGGCCAGGGCGGTGGTGGTTCGGATACAATGTATCGAGCCCAGAGCTGGGAGAGAAAAACAAACATGGGGCGGCCACGTGGGCGGAGCCGAGCGCGGGACCCGCCCCGGCCCCTGCCCCCAGCCTCGCTGAGCCCGGCCCCGCCCCGCCCCCAGCGCCCCCCCCAGCGCCGCCCCCGCCCTCCCCACTGCCGCAGCCGCCGGCCCCGCTCCCTGGCCGCAGACGACCCGCAGCAGGGTGAGGGGGGCGCGGAGAGCCCCGGGCGGGGCCTGGGGGGCCGGGCAGCCCGGAGAGGGGGCCGGGCAGCCCGGAGAGGGGGCTGGGCGGGGGTGCGGAGAGCCCCGGGCACGAGGGGCCCCGGGGGCAGCCGCGGGGAGCGGTGCGAAGGGGGGTGTCCCGGGAGGGGCCGGGCCGGCGCGGGATCCCCGGCGGGGCTACGGGCTGACCCCCCCCGCTGTGTCCGCCCCCAGGTCCCCGCCCGGCCATGCTGCTGGGGGACGAGATCAGCGCCGGGGACCGGCTGAGCGGAGCCGCCGCCCGGGGGGACCTGGCCGAGCTGCGCCGCGTCCTGCACCAGGAGCTGGTTCATCCCGACTCGCACAACCGCTTCGGCAAGACGGCGCTGCAGGTGGGCCCCCGCCGCCTTCCCCCTGGGGCTGGACCCCGGGCGCCCCCCCCCGCGCTACCCCGCCGGGGGCTTGGGGGATCCCCACGGGGAGCTGGCGCCCCCCATCCCCGCTGCGGGTCGGGGGGTTGAGGGACCCCCAGCTCCTTTGTGCCCAGGCTGTCCAGCTCAGGGCTCTCCCCCCCGGGCGGGGCTGGCAAGCCCGCGGGGGTCCCAGTCTTTGTTGCCCCATCATCTCCAGCGCCCTCGTGTGCGCGTGCCCCCCTCCAGCACCCAGGTCCCACCCCCCCTGCCCTCGTGTGTCCCCCCTCATGCCTTCTGGCCGCCCCCCCCGGGTTCACACGAATCCCGCAGGTGCCTCCCAAGCAAGCGATGTTTATAAACAGCTGGGGGGTGCAGACCAAACAAGATGGACACAGCCCCGGGCGAAGGCTGCCACTTGGCCTGGCTCCAGGTCTCACTGGGTGGGGGCCCTGGGTTAGGGTCCCAGTCCCTGACCGCTCCCTGCCTAGAGCGGGATGAGGGCTCTGGGGCACGGGTGCAGTCCCCAGCTGCCCGTCGGGGGGGGGCTCGTGGTCCTGGGTTCAAATCCCCTCCCCCCAGGCTGCGTGTGACACCCCCCCCCCGCTCACCCAGGTGATGATGTTCGGCAACACGTTTGTGGCAGAGGAGCTGCTGAAGCAGGGCGCCAGCCCCAACATCCAGGACGAGGCCGGCCGGGCGCCCGCCCACGACGCCGCGCACCGGCTTCCTGGATACCCTGCGTGTGTTGGTGGAGCATGGGGCCGACGTCAACGTGCCCGATGGGGCGGGGGCGCTGCCCGTCCACGTGGCCGTCCGGGAGGGGCACATGGAGGTGGTGCGGTACCTGGCGCCCGAGTCCAACCTGCGGCACCGTGACGCCGAGGGGCGCACCCCCCTGGAGCTCGCCCGTCACCTGGGCCTCTCGCACCTTGAGGCCATCCTGGAGCAGCACCTCTCTGCCCCCGCGTAACACCTTCCTGGGCAGGAGGTGGGTGGCACTGCTCCTCCTGGGACATCCCCAGTCCTGCCGTTGCACCCGCCCCAGAGGGACTTGCCTGCCCCCTCCCGTCCTAATTCCCGGCCCGTGTAAAGGCAGCTCCCTGCCCCCCACCTACCTCAGAGTTCGTCTTTAACTTTCACTGTTGTTTCTATTTATATTTTTTGTGGGTGCTTTTCTCCCCTCCTAGGATGTTCCCGAGTGAGGGGGGCTTCTCCCCACCCCGTCCTCCTTGCCGTGGGTGCTTCCCCCTCCCTCCCGGATTGCTGACCTGTGTGTGTATGTGAGGGGAAGCCTGGTTTTGCTGCCCATGATTCAAACTCGGATCCCTGGGCGGCTTGCTAACCTTGCAGCCAGGAGGAGTGCCTGCCATGCAGCGAAGACTGTCTGTGGTGTGGGGAGGGCACGGTGACACAACGGTGCTTCAGTTGCAAAGCCGGACCTTCCCTGCCCCCTCCCACTTCAGTGCAAAGCAGTGCGGGGGTTGTGTGGCTCCCTAGGAGAGCGCTCCATGCACAGGGCCCTCTGGTCTCTCCCCACCCCCATATCTGCCCGTCCCCCTGCCTTGTACAGTGTTATTTTGTGAGTGTCCGTTTTGCATTGAACCCAGCCGGGAGGGGCGGGGGTTGGTGGGGGGCACTGGGAACTGCGGCATGCAAAGGGTTAATGGGACCAAGCTGATGAGAGGGACAGGAGGTTAGAGCCCAGGGGGCTGGACTTGAGTTGGAGCTATGGGGCAAATACCCAGGTCTAGGGCCGGCCAGCATTTGGGATCCCCCATGGCAACGCATAGGGCTGCTATTAAAGAGGGCGTCCCACTGGCAAGAGCCTCATGTTGCCCATGGGATTCCACACCCCGTCCCAGCTCCCAGATCAGCTCTGTGCCTCCCGCCCCTCCTTGGTCCAGGCTGCCCTAGAGACTACACATCCCAGCATGCAATGCAGCTCACGCTGGCCTCTGTGGTCTTGCCAAGCCACGCTCCAGCCATGGTTTGGGGGATGGTGGCTGGTGTTTTCCCTCCTCTGCTAGGCCCCTTGGGGACGGGCGAGCAGTGTCCCTTCCCCCCGAGCGCCCGTGTGTTTGAAACAGAATTGTCTTTGCGTTGAAAACGTTTGAGCTTGATTCTTCCGGCAGCAGCCTCTTCCCGGGATGAATTGGTGGATCTGTGCTGTGTATATAGTGGTTTTTTTAAAACAGAGAAAAGATTAAACCAGATTCTATTTATTGTGCTTTGGAGAAAATGTTGGGGGATAATTTAATGTTTTTAACCATTAAATTAATATTTGTGGATTATGAATCCTGGGTCTTCCTTCCGGCAGAGATGGCAGCCCTAGCTGCATGGGTGGGTTCCCTGCAGCTGTCTTGCCACAGAGGTTGGGAATTAGGATCTCAATGCACTTTTCAGTCAAACTTCCCGTCACCGCTCCCATTTGATACTGGAAGGGGAAGTGACTCTTCTGAGGTGTCACAGATTGCAACAGAGCCCAGGACAGAACCCAGGAGTCCTGGCTTGCAGCACCCTCTGCTCTAACCACTAGACCGCTCTCCCCTCCCAGAGCTGGGCAGTCGTTCCAGCTGCCACGATACTTCTTGTTTTGCACCCACGTCACGTCCCACACAACTAGGGAGGCACTGCCCCCCGGCTCTGGGCTCCTGCTCTGGCTCCCCCGTCACTGGACCGTGATGGGCTGGGCCAGGGGCTCTCCTGCCTTGTGTGCCAGTTGATGTAACTCTGCCAGGGGGAGGACACTGGGGCTCCGCTACCATTGCTCCCTGGTGGCACCCTCTCCTTTCCCCTGGCTAAGCCTCCTGCACTCCTGTAGCCTGCAACAGGGACTGGAGAAGGTGCAAAGAACCCGTCCATATCCCCGAGATTCAGGCAGAGCTCTCCTCCCAACTGATCCATGTCGGGCTGCAGGGAGAAGGGGCTCAGAACTATTCAGGTTTTTCCGGAGCCTTTGCTGTGACTCTGGCTGGGAATCCAGCACGACCTTAGATGCTCCCCCACAACCCGTGCCCGGAGCCCAGCTCGGGGATGCTGGCCAGGTACCTTCCCCTTTTCTGCTGGGCCCCTAGGAGGCCGGGGAGCTGGTTTCCCAGCTACTGGCCTGGAGGTTCCTGCTGCAAGGGAGGGTGTCTGTCCTGGCTCAGATGCTGCTATAGGAACCTGTAAGGGGGGGCGCAGCAGGGGCCGCCCTGGCATTCGTGGGGTGGGGATCCAAGCTCCCAGGCCTGTCTCTGCTCCCAGGGCTGGCTGGGTCTCCGCAGAGATCTTTGCGCAATAGGTGACGCTGCAAGGGACGCTTTATCGGGCGGGCTGTCCCCGCGGCCTGGGCCCAGCCTCTGGGTGTGGCACGTAGTGACACAGCAACGGAAGGAAGGAAGCCAGGGTTTGGCAACGCTAGCTGGGTGCCTGTTGCCAGGCCAGGGTGGGGCAGCCCAGCCTCCAAGCTAGGAGAGGAGGAGAAAGGAGAGCTGGCTGCTGCCAGGAGCTTTAAAAAATAAAAGCAAAAGCCCAAGGCCCAGCTGGGGCTGTTTCACAACATCCCAGCCTGTGGCAAGTGCCAGAAGCCACAAGCAGCTGAGAGGAGATTACCAGAGACAGAGGCTTTTCCCAGCTGCAGCTCCTCAGCCCCCCCCCACCCCAGGCCCCTTTCTTCTGTCTTTGCTGCATCCCAGTGATGTAGTTCACTGTGGGGTGAACCCGAACGGTGCACCTCTCCCTCCAGCAGAGTGTGCCACAGACCCCAGGTGGCCTGGAGCAAGTAGCTTAGGTCCAAAAAAAAATCTCTCCGGGCCTCAGTTTCCCCGTACAATAGCTTTGCCCTACCTCCTGATTGTGGCACTCAGGTACTGCAGGGGTAAGAACCAGAGAACTACCTAAGATCCAGGGGTTTGCTAAGAGAAAAGGAGGCCTTGTGGCACCTTCGAGACCAGCAAATTTATTAGAGCATAAGCTTTCGTGGGCTGCAGCTCACTTCGGCGGATGCATGCAGTGGAAAATACAGTGGGGAGATTTTATATACACAGGGGCACCTGGGGCTGGGATGGCCGGGGGGCTGGGTTGGGACTGAGGGGCACCGGCAGAGCTGGGGGGGAGAGGGTGTCCTGGGGGGGGGTTCTGGTTGGGGATGTTTGATGGGGGGGGGGGAGGACACTGTCTTCAGTGACAGCCCCAGGTTGCTGCGGTCCCTTTAAATGGGGGGGTGGGGTTGCAGGGGCGAGCGCCCCGCCCCCTTGGCCTGCCCACGTGGTCTCCCGACCCGGAAGTGCCCGGCGCCCACGTGGTGGGCGAGGAAGATGCCGGAGCCGGGGCTGAAAATCAACGCGGGCTTCGCGGCCCGCTACGGGCGCTACCGGCGGCGGGAGGAGCTGCGGCGGCGTGAGCCGGGGGCGGGGCCTAGCGAGGGGGCGGGGCCTGCCGGGGGGTCCCCCCGACCCCAGCCTGGGGAACCCCCCACCCCCAGGGCGCCTTTCCCCACCAGGGACCTGTCCCTGCAGCGCCCCCCCATTGCATAACATCTGCCCCTGCAGCCCCCCCTTGTCCTGGGCTGCCCCCAAGCTCAGCGAATAGCCCCCTGCCCTGACCCAGAGACACCCCCCCCCTCCTTCTATGGTCCTGGAGGAGGGAGTGGGGCGTGGCTGGGGGGGGTGCAAAGTTGGGGCGGGTGGGGCACCTGGAGGAGAGGGGAATAGGTACCTGCAGACCCCCCCCAGCTCCCCGCTAACCCCACTGCCTTTGACCACCCCAGTGCAGGATCGCTATGGGGCCGACGCGGGGGCCGGTGAGGAGTCCAGCTCGGAATCGGAGGAAAGTGGGGATGACGTGGTGAGCCTGGGATGGAGGCTGGGGGTCAGTGGGCCTGAGAATGCGGAGTGGCTTCAAAACAGGACTCCTGGGTTCTATCCCCAGCTCAGGGAGGGGAGGGAGGGCTTGTGGGTCAGAGCAGGAGGCTGGGAGCCAGGATTCCTCTTGGGTTCTGGCCCCGGCCCTGACACTGACTGGCTCTATGCCCTTAGGTGAGTGACTTTCCTTCTCAGTGCCTCAGTTTCCCCCTCTGTCCTTTGGGGATAACGCTGAGCTGCCCCTTGGTGCCTTGTGGGGTGGGGTCAGTGCTAGACACAGAGCCCCAGAGAAATGGTGGGGGTCGCTGTTGACTAACCCGCTGGCTCCGCAGGAGCTGGACCCCCTGGAAGACAGAGATTTCTATCGCACTCTGGCCCTGCTGAAAACCAAGGACCCCAGGATCTACGAGAAAGATGCCACCTTCTACAGCCAAGCAAGTAATGTCTCCCCGTCCCGTGTGTGCTGTGCAGTCTTCCCCTTCTCTCCCTGCCCCCAGTGGCTCCCCCCCATCAGAGCCGCAGCGTTGGCCTAACGGTGTGGTGCTGCCGGCAGGAAGTATCGTCCTAGGTGGGACCCGCTGGTCACAGTAACTTTTCCCCCTTTGCCCGGCTGTGCCGGGGGGAGCGCTGGAGCCAGAGGCACGGTCCTGGCTCCCATGGGCAGCTTGCCACCTTGCCATAGTAACCTAGGAGGGACACACCACATGGGATCCCCTTCCTGCCCCCCCCGGGTTAATTCCCAGCTGGGACCCCCTCCCCCACTGCCTGTACTCCATTCCCGAAGCCCCCACCCCCAAGGCCCATGGCTGGGGTCCCTGAGCCAGGAATGCTGGGCTGGGTCTGGATCCCTGATCTATGGGGACTCCCCTTCCCAGCCTGCAGGACACCCAAATTCCTGGCATGTGCGTCCAGCTACCTCCCCCTGACCGGAGCGCCTGGCTCCCCGCACTGAGCTGGGCTGTGGCTCTGTCCTCAGATTCCTTGTCAGAAAGCGGGAGGGAGGTGGCCCCGAAGAGGAAGGAGAAACCCATGTACCTGAAGGATTACGAGAGAAAGGTGATCCTGGAGAAGGAAGGGTAAGGAGCGGGGGCTGGGCTGGGCTGGGCCACAGAGGTCCCTGGAGGGGTGATTTCATAGAGTTTAAGGCTAGTTTAAGTGAGCAAGACCCACCAGCCACGCATCTTAGATGGAGGATGCTTTGTCCCAGCTCAGAGCCCTGATTTGCACTGACTGGTATCTCATCTCTAGCCGAGGCCAATCTCTGATGCTTTAGAGGCAGGCGGGGCGGAAAAGACCCAACCCAGAATATATCTGGCCTATTGTGCACTGGGGAAAACATCCCTTCCTGACCCCTGCAAGTGACTGGCTGAGGCCCTGAAGCCTGCGATTGGATTATAGCCATTGGCTTAATGCGGCACTTCAGGTGTTAGGTGTATGCTGAGGACAATGCGGAAGAAGGGTTGACCTCCCTCTGGAGCCCACCGGCCAAAGGCTCAGGCCTGGTTGCCCTGTCGCTGAAAGGGCAGTGCAGCGTTTGAGGGGTCCTGCTCTGGCAGGCAGCTGTGGGTCTATGGCAGTGTTGATGTAGCCGGAATTGGGTGCCTGGCTCCTCTCCTGATGGCGGCTGACGTGGCGCAGGGGCTGCGTAAAGGCTGAAGCGGACAAATAACCAATTTTTTCCTCTTCCAGCAAATACGAGGAGGATGAGGAGGACGAGGAAGCAGCAGCTGAAAGACAGAAGGTGGGGAGTGGCTTGGAAAGGGCCTTCTCGGGGTGGGAGGGGCTGTATCTCTGCCCAGAGAGAGGGGGGAGGAGGTGCCAGGGAAGCCTTCCCCACTACAGAGCCTGTTCTTCCTCCTTAAACCCCACCTGTGGTATCAATGGGACATAGGATTCTCCTCTTCCTGCCCCATGCTGTTGCAGCATAGCTGCTGAAAGACTGCTGGCCCCCACCCCAGAGGTGGCCGCATCTCAGCGCTGGGGGAGGGATCCCTGTATAAACAGCCTCCATGCCCCACCCCAGAGGTGGCCACATCTCAGGGCTGGGGTCTGGAGACCGGTGCCAAGTTTAACCCTCTGTTTCCTTTGCTGTGCAGAGAGCTGCCTCCCAGAGCTATGTTGAGGAGCAGAAGCGAATCAAGGAGAGGTGAGGGGGAGGATGGGGTGTGGGGCACAGAGGGGGGTGTGTGGGTGACCAGGCTGAGTCCCTACGGGGACCCACCAGACGCAGGGCCCCCAAAGGGGTAGGTGTGCTCGGGGCAGCTGGTGCTCAGCACTCCAGCCAGGCAGGTCGATGGGGGGGTCCCGTGGCTTCGAACCCCAGTGTCTGCTGCTAATCCTGAGGCGTCCCCGTCCCGACAGCTTCCGGCCATTCGTGGCAGACAGCGATGGGGAGGAGAGCGCGGGGGAGGGCGGCTCGGCCCTGCTGCAGAAACGGATCAAGAGCACGGAGGAGACGGTGGGTGACAGGCGGCGGGGGGGGGAGGGGGGGTTGCTCTGGGTCCCTGGGCTCAGCCAGGGGAGCTCTGGGCAGAGACGGTTCCTGTGCCGGGACGGGGTTTGGTGGGGTCAAGGTGGCTGGGCTCGGGGGATGCGGTTCTGGGGGCTGGCTCCCTTAGGTGGGCATCACGGCATGGCACCTCCTGCTGGGCTGGCTGGATTCGGGGGGGGCTGACGGGGTCTCTGCTTATCTCCACCCCAGGCGCGCGAGCAGGAGGGCTATGTCAGCTGGCTCAAAGGGCAGGATTTCCCCCCGGACCAGCAGCTCGAGGACCTGGTAAGCCGGCGCCCGCTCTCCCCCGGCCAGGTGCTGTTGGAGCCCCCAACCCCGGGGCAGGGCTGTGGTGCTGGGCCAGCGTCCCATGTGACCTGCCCCTGGCTGCCTGGGCTGGCTGCGGCTGGTGCGAGGAGGATGCCTGTGCCCCCGGCAGAGACCCCCACAAGCGCCCCCTTCTGGCCACTGAATAGGGTCTACAGCCAATTTAAAACCCAAATCGTGTCCACCAGCCCCTGGCCCATTGCTCGGCCCCTTGCCCAGGGTCCAGGCACTCCGGCGTCTCCCCTCTGGAGAGTCCATCCTCAGCCCGCAGGCAGGAGGCACCTGCTGGTCCCTGCCGGGCGTCGGACCCTCGGGGCTCTGTTCTGCTCTCTCCCCTGCTCACCACTGAGCTCTCACCCACCCAGCCAAGCCCACTAACCCTCCCGCCCCCAGCTGAGCAATCTCCTGGAGCTGCTGAGCCCCACGCCTTTCCGGGGCCAGCTGGCCTGTGACAGCCGCAGCGTGAGCCAGCCCAGCCTTCGATCTGCTCCTTCCCGCCCCCATCTCCCTGCAGCTCTGGCTCAGCCCAGGGGCCTGTCTAGCCTGGGATCCCGCCTCTGATGGGAGTGGCACCAGCTGCTTCAGAGGTAGGAGCAGGAGGCAGAATGGGATCGCCTGCCCTGGGAGAAGTCCCTCCTGACCCATGTGAGTTAGAGGGTTGGGGTCCTGCCCCAAAGCGGGAGGGGGTCCAAAACCCCTCTCCCAACTCTGTTACTCTAACCCTGGCTGCTCCTGTTTCCCGTATCGATGCCCTGGCATCAGTCGCCACCTTGTGGCAGTGAGTTCCGCCGTCTTCTCTCCGCCAGGCCCCGCTGAAGGAGTATTGGAGCAACCCCGCGCTGGACCCCGGGGAGCGCTTCCTACGCGACTACATCCTGAGCAAGGGCTACAGGGAGGAGGACGAGGAGGAGGAGGGAAGGCAAGTGTAGTGGGCGCACCTGGGGACGCTTTCTTGCCCGCTGCCTTTCCCTGCCCCTTGGGGCTGGCTGGATGAAGGGATCCCCTGACCCCAGGAGCCAGATCACGAGTGGGCCATGTTTTATTGGGTGGGGGTGAGGGGGGTCTCTAACTTGGGGGGCCTGGCCTGACTCTCGGGGCTGGTGCCCTGCAGAGCCCAGTGGGGGTTGGGCCCCCAGAGTCATGGCTCCGCCCCAGCTGCTGCCTGGACATGTGCTCTTGGATCTCCTGGAGACCGGCCTCCCGCCCCATTGGCCAGTCTGGGGTGGGTGTGGCCACCCCAGCCAATCAGAGCAGGAACTGGGGGGGGAGCGCGGGGGGGTTATTGCTCCTGTAAGAGGAGAAACCACTCGGGTTCCGCTGCTGTGGGGCAGTGGGGGGGCAGCCGTGGGGGTGGGGGGCTTCCTGGGGATAGCAGGCGGGGGTGAAAACATAGCCTGTGAGCAGAGCTCCCTATAGACACCCCCCAGAGGGGATGGCTAGCTCCTGGAGGGGCACGTGTTGAAATCAACTTGGGGGGCAAGCATGCAGTGCCACCGAGTGGGGGTGACGGCTGTCAGCAGGGGACACTTGTCCTTGGCCTGGGGAGGTGGAAACATAAGGCAAAGGCCTGGGGAGGGCTAGAGCAGTGGGGAGGAATGGTGCGGGGAGCCTGGGCTGGGGCCCCCAAATTAAACACCACCCCCGTCCTCGGTGGTGCAGGTGAATGCTGCTGGCTCTTAGCTCAGCCCTTTAGATCCCGTGGTCGTGGGTTCCATCCCCGGCGCCGACGACCCACCCAGGGTGTCACGTCACCCCTAGGAGAGGTTCTAGGGTGGGTTTAGCTCCTGGAGACACCCCCCCCCACGGCCTTGTTGGCTTTCCCCAGGGAGCCTGGGGCCGTGTCCCCCCTGCGGCTGGAGGACTCCTCGGACGAGGGGGAGCTCTTCCTCAAGAAGCAGGAGGAGTTTGAGCGCAAGTTCAACTTCCGCTTTGAGGAGCCTGATGCACAGCTGGTAAGGGATACCCCCGGGCGCCGTGTCCCCCCTGGGCGCTGTCTCCCCCTGCCCCTCCCCCCTCAAGCGCTATGTCCCTCCCCAGGCACCATGCTCCTCCCCCGGGGAGGGGGAGTGACTCTGGAGCCAGTGCAGCTGGGTGGGGCACGATAGGGTCCCAGGATAGGGGAGCTGGGAGACCCCAACACAATGCAGCCCCAGTCCCCCTGGCTGGAGTGAGGCCTGGGGGCTGCAGTGCAGGGTGTCCCCCATGCTGTGGGTGGGGGTGTTCAGGCTGTGGGTGCAGGACACCAGGGGCCCTGGAGTCTCGCCTGTGTGTGGGGAGGGGGGGGGGTCTGGCAGTAACGCGGATCCCGTGTCGTCGTCCCATCTCCCACCCCCACCCCGCCCAGGTGAGGACTTATCCCCGGACCATCGCCAGCTCGGTGCGCAGGAAGGACGAACGGCGCAAGGAGAAGCGCGAGGAGATCAGGGAGAGGAAGAGGAAGGTGAGAGATGATCACAGCGTGAAGGGGGCTGGGGGGTCTCCACCCCCTGGAGGTTGTGGGGCAGCCTGAGTCGTGGAGCTGAGTGAATAATGGGGGGAGAGAGCAGGGGGCCCGGACGCTTGGGTTCTATCCCCAGCTCTGGGAGGGGAGTGGGGTCTAGTGGTTAGAACGGGGGGGGCTGAGAGCCAGGACGCCTGGGTTCTCTCCCTGCTCTTGTCTTGGGTTGGTCTTGGGGGCTGGTGCTATCAGACAGGGAGTCTCTCGCGGGTTAGGAGCCCCCCCCGCCCCGTCTCTCTGGGTTGCATGGACCCCCTGGCGGGCGCGGGGGAGGCATGAGCAAGTGAGGGGAGCCCATTCCATAATAACCCCAAGTCCCTCCCCACAGGAGAAGGCCCGGAAGCAGGAGGAGTTGAAGCAGCTGAAGAACCTGAAGCGCCAGGAGATCCTGGCCAAGCTGGAGAAGCTGCGGGAGGCGACGGGCAACGCGACCGTCGGCTTCGGGGAGCAGGAGCTGGAGGGGGCCTTCGACCCGGCCGAACACGACCGGCTCATGCAGGCGAGAGCCCCCCGCACACCTGCCCTCGCCCGGGGGACAGGGACCTGCCCACCTCGCCCTGGGGGGCCTGGCGCCTCCTGGCCTGCAGCACAAACACCCCCACCCCCAAATGGGGCCTGAGTGCCTCCCGGCCTGCGGTACAGACCTTGCCACCCCGGCACCTCTTGGCTGGCCTGCAGACACCTCCCCACTCTCCCCATGAGGCCCTCGCATCTCCTGACTCTGCCACACCCCTCTGGGCTCCAAGGGGTTAATGTCCGCGCCAAGCCCAGCTGGCTCCCAGCTGGCCCGGGGCCCATGTCCCTGGCCTGGCCTGGCTTGGCTCCTCTGTGGGTCAGCGGGATGGCACCAGGCAGCATCCCCAGTGGCAGGGCGGTCCCCTCCGTTCCGGGGCCGGAGATGCAGCCCTGCATGGGGCTGGGATGGGCCCAGGGTGTTCGTGGGGACCAGCCTTGGGACAGAGGAGCCCTCCCTTGTCCTGTCCCACTGGGCACAGCCCCTCCCCAGGCTGGGACCCCCTGCCCGGGGGGGAAATCCTGCCCCAGTCAACCCAGCTGCTCACTCAGCTCCTTCTCCTTTTCCCACCCCACAGAAGTTCTTCGGGGCCAATTATTACGGGGAAGGGGAGGAGGAGAAGCCGCAGTTCGAGGAGGAGGAGGGCGTGGATGGTAGGTGGATGGGGGAGGGCAGGGCGTGTGCGGGGAGGACAATGGGGGGGCACCATCCAGGACACACTGGGCCCTATGATGTCTGGGTCCCGTCCCCACCCTGCTCAGACCAGCTGGGCAGGTCACTTCTCTCCTCATCCCCATGCTGCAGGGAGGTGGTCTGATTTGCATATTTACATATGCAAATGACTCACTGTCTGGGAGGGGTGCGTGAGTTTGAGGGGCTGGTTCTGTGGGAGCTGTCGCGGCACAACGCAGACGCCACTTGGAGCCCGCCTGGGCTGGCTCCATAGCGGCCCCACACTGCAAACGGCGGGGGGCAGCAAGGGGACATTGAATCTGAACTTCCCGTCCCCAACCCTGCGGGCAGTGCTGTTAAAATCAGCTGCCACGCCCCAGCCCAGAGGTGGCTGCCACTCAGTGGTTGTGTGGGGGGGAGCAGTAGGAGTACGATTCTGCTCCAAAGAAACCGTCTCTTTCCCCTTTGGATCCAGATGGCTGGAACTGGGACAACTGGACCGGCCGGGACGCAGAGGGAGGCGAGTGGCCGGAGGAAGAGGGGAGCTATGAGCCACACTGCGAGGACCCCAACTTCATTGTACGTCCCTGGGGTAGAGGGAATTTGCCAGCTGGTGCTGAGACCCCGCTGAACTCATGACACTGTTGGCAGTGCCAGGTGACTCCAGCAGAGAGCATGCCCCAGTGGGGTGGTGCCAGCAGGGCATGTTCGGGGGCACCCCACTTGGGGATCGGGGCCCGTGGCGCTGGGAGGTAATGGGGGGAGGGTGTATCCCTGAGCCGAGCGTGATGGGTGCCGCCGGGGCGGTTCTGTCCCCCCAGATGGACGCGGATTACGACCCCCACGTGCGGCCAGGCCCCCCCCGGAAGCGGCAGAAGGAGCCTCCGACGTTGCTGGGGAAGAGGAAGCTCAAGACACGGTTCACGGAGGCCATGGAGCGGGAGAAGCCCCCGTTCGACCCTGGTAAGGGGGTTGGGGGGGGTTCTGCCTGGAGCTTTCTCCAGCGCAGGTGTCCTGGGGTGTCAGGCTCCTTGGGCCCAGCAGCCGTCCTGCCCCCTTCCCACCCCACCAGGAGCCACGTGCTGCCAGGTATCCAGCCCCCTCCCTGGGTGTCCCCACGATGGCTCTCTGCAGCTCTGCCCAGGCTGGCAGGCTCCGCACTTGGGGTGCCCCCCGCTGGCTAAGACATGGCTGCGTTGGATCAGGCTCCCTCCTGCCCCCCGGTGCCCTCCCTGGTATGCCCCAAGGGCACCCTGTAGCCGGGGGGCCCAGCCCCCGGCTCCCTCTGGGTCTGCCTCAGGGCCCTCCGCAGCTGAGAGGCGGAACTGATGGGGGATCACCTGTGGGAGGGGGCTGTACTGGGGGTGCTGCCTTGGGCTGGGAGGGGGTTGCTGGACCAGGGAGCTCCTGAAGCCGCCCCCATCCCAGGGCTGTGCTGAGCCCCACCGTTTCCCCCCCAGAGGTGGGCTCCTTCGAGCAGTACCTGGACGAGTATTACCGGCTGGACTATGAGGACGTGATCGGCGACCTGCCCTGCCGCTTCAAGTACCGCACCGTGATGCCCTGCGACTTCGGCCTCAGCACCGATGAGGTACCCGCCTGCCGCCCCTTCCCTGCCCAGCACCCATCCCTGTGCTCTGCCGGCCTCCGCAGAGTTCTGGGCCTAGCCTGGCTTTCTGTCCCAGCTCCAGGAGGCGAGTGGGGTCTAGTGGTCAGAGCAGGGGGCTGGGAACCAGGACTCCTGGGTTCTCTCCCTAGCTCTGCCCCAACTCTCTGACTTGAGGGGATCAATCCTGTCCCTTCTCTGTGCCTCAGTTTCCCCCTCTGGATCCCCGGCTCCTGGGGGGTCTCCTCCCCCACAGTGGATTCCTGCTCCTCACAGGCCATGAACCCTCCCCCACTTTGCTCTCGTCCCCCGTCAGATCCTGGCCGCTGATGACAAGGAGCTAAACCGCTGGTGCTCATTGCGCAAGACCTGCATGTACAGGTGAGGGGCTGGGGGGCTGGCCCTCCTCTGTGGCGCTTGGAGGTGGGGGATGGGACGGCAGCAGATGGGTCCTTGGGCCCCAGGGAGCTTCATACCAGGACTTTGATTTGCTCAGAAACCACATGCAGGGCGAGATTCCCACAGCCCTGTGGAACAGGACTCCTGGGTTCTATCCCTGGCTCTGGGAGGGGAGTGAGGTGTGGAGGTTAGAGCTGGGGTGGAGGGGAGGGCTCAGAGTCAGGAAACCTGGTTTCTGTGTGTGCCTCAGTTTCCCTCTCTGGTGCTCTGCCGTAGCATTGCCAGATTACAGTCCAGGCCCCGTTCACACGTGGCCAGGCTGATTCTCCCATTTCCCAGCTCTCTGGCTCTCAGCCCTTCTCCAATTAGAGGCCTTGGAATGTGACCCCCGGGTCCCCCTTTGTGGGTCAGGATCTGAGCCCTCCTGCCCCGCGTCTCCCCGCAGGTCGGAGAAGGAGGAGCTCCAGGACAAGGCTGCCTACACCCGCAAGGCCCAGAACACCAGCAAGAAGCAGCAGATCCTCAAGTCCCTCTCCGCTGCGTACGTACCCTGGGCCTGGGCTCCAGCAGGGGGCGCCAGCGCTGGGTCCCCGGTGCCGTGCGATTTGAACCCTCACCCCCTGCATGGGAGCTCGTCTCGAACCATATTTTTTTGGCTGGGAATTTCCTTGGTTTTTAGGAGTCCCAGGGGGCTGCTGGATGGGCCCCCCCAGCTGCTGCACATTCTATGGGGCTCCAGGGGGCTGGTAGCACGGGCGGGGTGGGCCCCTGGCAGGGAGTCTTAAAGGCACTGGGGTTACAGAACTGAGGCCACTCTGCGGACAGCATGTTCCCTCCTCTCCCCGCAGCTGATTGGGCCTGTTGGTCAGTGCCCCCGGTCCCATGCTGTCCCCAGAGAAGCAGGCTGGGCAGGTGGGGGGCAGTGCTCCTGAGCCCGTCACCCTCATATAAAGGAAATGCTGTGTTCACGTGGGGCACAGTGGGTCGGTGGAACTCCCTGCTCCATGATCCCAGGGAGGCCAAGAGCTGGGCAGCTTGAAAAGTTTGGGCGCTTGTATGGACAGCGTGAACGGCTTTGGGGCAGGAGCCCTGACCTCTGCCTGGTGGGAGGGGATCCTATTTCTGCTGCTTCCTGCAGGGCGTCTTGCACCTTCCACTGGCACGGCCCCTGCTGCAGACTGGATGCCAGGCTAGATGGGCCCCCGGGCTGGCGATGCCTGTGCTCTCGGGGCCGCAGGCCTTGCAGGGGGTGGGTGGCTCTGGCATGGCAGGGCTGAGTTCGCACAATGCCCTGGGCTGGGGAACCCCCGCTTTTCACACGGCCCCTTTCCTTGCCCTGCAGCGCGGAGGAGGCCGGCGAGGACGAGCCGCGGCCCAAGCTGGGGAAGAAACCCCAGGACAAGGCGAAGCGGCGGCAGCTGGAGCAGGAGCCGCACGGCGCCGGGCTAACCGCGCGCCCAGAGGCCGAGGGGCCCTCGGTGCCCACGGCAGGGGCCCTCAGCCCCACCCTGTCCCCTGCTGGGCAGCCCGGGGGCCTGGCGGGGAAGGCCTCCCCTGGGCCCCAGGCAGGGCCGCGGCGGGGCCGGCGGGGGCGGCTGCTGGGCGCCAGGGTGCGGGTGGGCGGGCGGGAGTTCAGCGGGCAGAGGCTCCGGGCCTACGGGCTCAACCCGGGGCGCCTGCAGTGGCGCCAGCTCCACCGTCACCAGAGGAAGCAGCTGGCGCGCCAGACTCAGCGGGCCAAGGCGCCCGGACGCCAGGGTCCTGTGGGAAAAGCCGCCCGGGCCTGAGCACAGAGAGAGCCGGGGGCTCGCGTGGCTGGGTGCCGTCGCCTGGCAGCTGGGGGAGAGGGGCCCCAGGCCTGCCCTGGAACTGAGTGTGGGGGGCAACTCTCGCCCCTCCCCAGCAGCTGGGGTCACTGTCTCTACCCCTTCCTGCTACCAGCAGTGGGCTTGACGCCTGGTCTGGCTCCGTGCCTCAGTTTCCCCTGCTGGAGCAGGTGCACGGCAGGGTGGGGCTCAGTGTTTGGTGGCAGAGAGTGGAGCAAAGCCTGTTTCTCCCTCAGCGCCGCTGGGCCTTGTTCCCTTTTTTACACGGATTCTGAAATAAACCTCGGTCCAGTGCTCTGACTCCCTGAGCGCAGCTTTCATCTTGGGGCGGCCGCTGCCTGTCCTGCCAGGGCCAGCTGTGGCTCCCCCTGGCCGGCCGGCCTCCCCCAGAGTCCGGGGGACACATTGAAACTCTGCTGCTTAAACTGAGGGGAGCCAGCCTGCGGGGAGGCAAACCCTCCCCTGGTTTCCCACGGGGGGAGATGCTGGCTGCACAGGGCTGTCCGCTCCTCGGGCCACGGGGATTGGCGTTGTGGAGGGTTAGGCTGTGGGGCCGGGTTGGGTGAGCGCCATCCCTGGGGCTGACCCCCCCCCCCCCCCCCCCCCCCAGACCAGGAGCTGCCTTTGCTTTAACCCAGGGACTTAGCCCTGGCAGCTGGTGTCCTCGGGGGAACCTGCTAATGCCCTGTGGAGCCGAGTCTCCTACCTGCCCTAATCGGGCCCTGATGCAAAATTGCCTCTTGGGGGGAGCAGAAAGGCCCCAGGGTGGGGGTAGATCCTGCTTTTCCCCAGCTCCCTTCAGGGGCACAGGGAGTCCTGGGCGGTGGGGCGGGGCCCTGAGGCGCCGTTACACAAATTAGCCCCCAGGGCTGGGCCGGCCCTTGGTCCTGCACTGTCAGCCTGGCTGCCCCAGGCAGGGCCTGGCTCTGGTCTGGGTTTGGGCAGCCCCTGGGACCGCCTGTGGCTCCTATCTGCTGGTCCCATACTCCCCCGCAGGGCCCAGGCCCGCTGCTGCGGCTCAGCCCCTGGGGCACAGCGGGGCAGGCTGGGCCTGGCTAGGGCCCCTACTGCTCTGGGGCCCAGCTGCCCTGTCCCTACCAGCGCTGGCTGGGGGGAGGGGGCTGTGCAAGGCTGATAGTGCTGGCCCAGGTGTCCAAGGCTGGAGCTGGGCCCTGCCGTGCCCCTCAGGGGCTGGGCCCGTCGCTCGTCCCCCTCCGGGCTGCAGCTAAGCCGCCTTAGCAAGGTGATGCGAGGCAGCCCTTGGATTTCCGAGCGATTTAAGAGGCCGTGGCAGGCGCTGGTAGCCCCAGGCTGGGCACAGAGCAGCAGGAGCGGGAGGAGATGGCCCTGGCTCGCTGGTGCCACTCGGCTGGGCCATGGCGGTGCCGTGCGCTGCTGCTGGCAGGACTCCTGCTGCTGCTCCTCCGGCAGGCGGCCAAGCGGTGAGTAGCTGGCACCTGTGGGGTGCGTCGGGGGAGCTTCAGCAAACTGGGGGGGCAGGGAAGCCTGCAGGGGCTGAATGTGGCTGTTGGCAGGAGCAGCTGTGGGTGCTGGGCCATGGCTACCCTGTAATTCAGTGCCCAGCTCTTGCCATGGGCGAAGGCTCATAGTGGGCAGGCTGGGATGAGACCCCCCCCCAAAAAAACAAAAAAACCGCAGTGCTGGTTTGGGGCCAAGGGCTTGCTCATTCTCCCCAATGGCCACACACCTCAGCAAGCAAAGCAAGGGGGCTGCTGCTGCTGTTTCAGGAGCCCCTCCTGGACCAGGCTGCCATTGTGCCAGGTGCTGTACATGTGGGTGTATTACAGTCGTGTCCAGGGGCACCCACATTGTGCCAGGCACTGTACATGGGGGTGTATTACAGTAGTGCCCTGGCACACCCCCATGGTGCCAGGCAGTCACAAACCCAGAACAGGCCAGGCCTCATAGATATTAAGGTCAGAAGGGACCATTATGATCATCTAGTCTGACCTGCACAACGCAGGCCACAGAATCTCAGCCACCCACTCCTGCAATAAACCTCTCACCTATGTCTGAGCTATTGAAGTCCTCAAACCACGGTTTAAAGACTTTGAGGTACAGAGAATCCTCCAGCAAGTGACCTGTGCCCCATGCTACAGAGGAAGGCGAAAAACCTCCAGGGCCTCTTCCAATCTGCCCTGGAGGAAAATTCCTTTCTGACTCCAAATATGGCGATCAGCTGAACCCTGAGCATGTGGGCAAGATTCACCAGCCAGATACCCAGGAAAGAATTCTCTGTAGTAACTCAGATCCTATCCCTCTACATCCCATCATAGGCCATTGGGCCTATTTACCATGAATAATTAACATGATTTTGTCAATTAATTGATCTTTATCTCATCATACCATCTCGTCCATAAACTTACCGAGTTTAATCTTGAAGCAAGATAGGTCTTTTGTACCCACTGCTTCCCTTGGAAGGCTGTTCACTCCTCTGAGGGTTAGAAACCTTCCTCTAATTTCAAGTCTAAACTTCCTGGTGGCCAGTTTATATCCATTTGTTCTTGTGTCCACATTGGTACTGAGCTTAAATAATTCCTCTCCCTCTCTGATATATTTATAGAGAGCAATCATATCTCCCCTCAGCCTTCTTTTGGTTAGGCTAAACAAGCCAAGCTCCTCGAGTCTCCTTTCATAAGACAGGTTTTCCATTCGTCGGATCATCCTAGTAGCTCTTCTCTGTACCTGTTCCAGTTTGAATTCATCCTTCTTACACATGGGAGACCAGAACTGCACACAGTGTTCCAGGTGAGGTCTCACCAAGGCCTTGTATAACGGTACTAACACCTCCTTATCTCTACTGGAAATACCTCGCCTGATGCATCTCAAGGCCGCATTAGCTTTTTTCCCGGCCATATTGCATTGGCGGCTCATAGTCATCCTGTGGTCAACCAATACTCCAAGGTCCTTCTCCTCCTCCGTCACTTCTAATTGCTGCGTCCCCAGCTTATAACTAAAATTCTTGTTATTAATCCCTAAATGCATGACCTTACACTTCTCCCTATTAAATTTCATTCTATTACTATTACTCCAGTTTACAAGGTCATCCAGATCTTCCTGTAGGATATCCCGGTCCTTCTCTGAATTGGCAATACGTCCCGGCTTTGTGTCATCCACAAACTTTATTAGCACACTCCCACTTTTTGTGCCGAGGTCAGTAATAAAAAGATTAAATAAGATTGGTCCCAAACCCGATCCCTGAGAAACTCCACGGGTAACCTCCCTCCAGTCTGACGGTTCACCTTTCAGTATCACCCACTGTAGCCTCGACACACTCCCTGGCATTTAGTGGCTGCTGGGGCAGTTCTCCCAGGCAGGGTTTTCACAGGAAACAGCCAAGGGCTGGGGCACCCTCCCTGCCATGGGAGGGCCAGGCCCTGAGCCCCCCAGCAGCTGGCTGGGCCCCAGGCTGAGGGCAGCAAAGCCTACCACCACCATGCTAACAAGTGGTGCAGGCTGGGGGGTAAGCACCAAGTGCCCCCGCTCTGGCCTCGCCAGCATGGCCTTGCACACAGGGCCTTGAGGCCAGCCACTAGTGACACAGGACCGCTGGGCAGAGGATAGGGGTGCGGGAGGTTTACGAGGGAGCAGCACAACCAGGGCCCCAGGCTGGCACTCAGGACACCTGGGTTCTATTCTCAGGGCTGCAGGCTGAGTCCCCTCCCCCGCCTGGCCCTTTCTCCCATCCTGTCCACCAGTCGATTCAGACTCAGCTCCATGGGGCTGGACCTGGCTGTGCAGCACCTGGGGGCCCTGCTCCAGCAGTGAGGGCCTCTAACCCACCCCCTCTCTCCCACCACAGGGAGGTGGGTAGAACCAGCCCCCCTGAGATGCTGCGGGGGAAGAGCTCTGGCCGCCCTCCCCCCAGCGTGGTGTTCGTGAAGACCCACAAGACGGGCAGCAGCACCCTGCAGAACATCCTCTTCCGCCTGGGCGAGCGGCATAACCTCACCGTGGCCTTCCCCCGCTACACCTACCAGTTCGCCTACCCCCAGCGCTTTGCTGCCGCCTTCGTGGAGCCGCTGCCGCCGGGTGCCACCTGCTACAACCTGCTGCTCAGCCACCTGCGGCTGGCAGCCAGTGAGCTGCGCCGGGTCATGCCCCCGGACAGCCTCTACCTTACCATCCTGCGTGACCCCGTCCGCACCTTCCAGTCCGTCTTTGCCTACTACCGCAGCACCGTACCCGCCTTCCGGCCCCTCGCCAACCACACCCAGCCCCTGGCTGCCTTCCTGCAGGCCCCAGCGCAGTACTATGACCTGGCCGACACGGGCAACGGGCTGGCCAGGAACCCCATGGCCTTTGACCTGGGGCTGGAGGCCGGCGGCGACGAAGGGGGCAGCCGGTGGGACCGGGAGCTGGAGCAGCTGAACCGGACCTTCCACCTGGTGCTCATCGCCGAGCACTTCGACGAGTCCCTGCTGTTGGCGCGGGAGCTGCTGGGGCTGCGGCTGGAGGAGCTGGCCTACGTGCGGCTCAACGCCCGCCAGGGGGCCGTGGACGAGGCGTTGGCCCCGGGGCTGGCGCGGCAGATCCGGGCGTGGAACTGGCTGGATGTACGGCTCTACCGGTATTTCCAGGCCGTGCTGTGGCAGCGGGTGGAAAGTTACGGCTATACGCGCATGAAGGGCGAGCTGGATGCCCTGCGCTCGCTGCTGCGGGAGACCCGGGAGACCTGCCTGGCCGGGGAGGCCGTGGGGCCCGAGGAGACAGCAGACGAGCTGCGGCCCTGGCAGCCTGACACTGCTGCCATCCTGGGCTACAACCTGCGGCCCAGCCTCCCACCGGCTCAGCACGCCAGCTGCTATCGCCTGGTGCTGCCGGAGCTGCGGTATCACGCCCACCTTTACTACCGCCAGTACGGCAGGGAGATGTGCTCCCTGCCCTGTGGCTAGTGGGGCACAGGCCAGGGGGCTTTGATAACCCACCCGTGGGGCCCAGAGCAGCAGCCCAGCCCCACTCTGAGCCACAGCCCGCGAGCAGAGCAGGAGGCAGGAGCTGGGTTTTCTTCGCTGCTTTGTCGCTGCCCACTTCCCGCTCCGGGCCTGTGACTCCCCACCCTTCGCCTAGCTAGAGGGTGAGCCCTTCAGGGCAGCGCTCGGGACTGCAAGCTCAGTGTGGGTAGCGCCCAGCCCCACCCCTCTCCCCTGCCCCTGGGGGCCGAGCAGCCGGGAGCCCCGCTCTTAGCCGGATCCACAGGGCGCTGCTGTAGCAGAGGCTGGAGAAGCTGGAAGTGGCCCTGATACACCCTATGTCACCCGCACTTTCTCCTTCCAGCAGGACTTTCCCCGAGAGGCCCAAGGAGCGCCTGACTTGGGGGGGGAAGCATCCCCGCACACTGTGTCCTGAGCTGGGGCCACCCACAATAAATAAACCAGGTCCATTCAAAACCAGCTGCCGTGGCTCATGTTCTGACACCGCTGCAGGAAGAGCCTGCTCCATTGGGCTGCCCTGGGCTAGGGGGGAATGGGTCAGCTGCCCCAGAGGGGTGCTCGGGGGGGGGTAAGGAGAGTTCCCTTTCTTAGGGGGTTTCCAGAGCCACCCCTCACGACACACGTTGCACATAGCTGGTTTGAGTCTCGTCCTAAAGCCCTCTCAGCCTGCCGCCACCCCATAAGCCATGGGGCCCCTGGCTCCAGCTTTCCTCTGTGCCAGGGCTGGATTAGGGCAGTGGAGGGGCTGCCTGGTGCCCCCACAGTAGCCCTGTGGCTCTACTGCCGGGACAGCCCTGGGGGAAGGGCCTAGCCCCTCACATTTGCTAGTAACCACCTCCCGGCTCAGAGGCCTAGTCTCATTCCCTGTGGTGCGAGGGGTGACGCACAAGGGCAGCGGTCTTGTGGACAGCAGTGCTAGGGTCCCCTAGGGGATGCAGGTGTCCCCCCACCCCACAGGGTCAGTGCCTGCGGATGGCAGCTCCCTCTGGGGACAGGCTGCAGCTGGGCCATCTGACCTCTGCACTCCGGTTCAGAGGGACAGCGGGGTCCTGCCCTGGCAGCCCAGGAGCCGGCAGAGGGCAGAGCCAGACTCCAGCAGGAAACCGCAAAGGACCTGCACAGCCGTCGATCAGCTTCAGGGGGTGCTAGATCCCAGCAAAGTAACAGGCCCGGCCTAGGTGAGGGCACCGCTCTCCCCCGCGTGCCAGGGATTTATTCCAGTGTAAATTGGGAAGTACAGTGTGCAGCAGGGCTCTCTCCAGTTCGCCGGCTGCCTGTCCCCACGGTGGGGGGGGGGGGCTGCCCTCAGGCAACGGCCCAGCACCCCCGCTGCACTGCCAGTGTTGTGACATGGTGTGCGGGGCAGCCAGTGGCCCCCGCCATGTCTCTATAAATAAGTAATAAATAATGGGGCACAGCCCCCCCCCCGCTCACAGGAAGACGAACTCGTCCGAGCTGGGCTTCTTGGCCTTGCTGCGCTTGGGGAGCTGCACGGTCTGCTGGGAGAAACGGGAGCACAGCTCGGCCAGCCCGTACTCCTGCGCCTGACCCTCCGTCACCGTGAACATGGGGTACTTCTCCTTGGCCGACGAGGAGTTCAGTACCTGGGGGGCAGAGGGCCGGGGTCAGAGGGCCACGAGAGGAAGGCAGACACCCCACCCCCTTCGCCACACACACGTTATCTGCTTGCAAAATCCACACGGTGCCCCCCTGCTCCCAGCCAGCACCTCAGGGAGCCCGTGCTGCAAGGGGCAGGGAAAAGGCTCAGGGCCAGGCCATTGGAGGCACCAGCCCCTTGGCTTGGCATGGCGGGTTCTCTGAGCCCTCACCCGCATGGGCAAGCGTTGGGGGAGGAGAACGGAGCTGCCCTGCCCTGTTCTGACCAGGCAGGATCCAGATATTGAGGCGGACTTAAGTCTCCGCCAGTGGCAGGAGGCAGAATCCACACGGCACTTTTCCCAGGCAGGTGCCCGCATGCACAGTGCAGATGCCAGACACCAGCACGGGGGCTGCGGGAGGGCTACATCCAGGGTGTTCTGGGGCCCCGGCAGAGCGCACCCCCCAGCCGGTCCCCACTCCAGCTGGCACCAAGGCATTGCCCGCTGCGGCCCTTACCCTGGTCAACACCGAGCACAGCGTGTCCAACTCCTGCCCATCGCGGGCGTAGAAGCCAATGGTGCAACTGGGATCCATTTTGCTGAAGGCCATTTTGCGGGGTGAGCTGCAGTGGAACGACTGGGAGAGAGAGCGTGTACATGTGTTACTCTACGGAGCCAGCCCCTGGCAGCAGCTGCTCCCCCCCATCCACCGGCTTGTACCGACCTCCAGGGGGAAGTTCTTTTTGGTGGTGTCCACAAAGGGCTGGCAGTAGTGGGGGTCCAGGTACAGCAGGAAGTCATCTGGAAGGCAGGGGGGAGGTGGGGAGAGGAGAAGCATCAGCAGGAGCTCAACAGCCCCTCCCTCAGGCAGTCCGGATCACACCAGCCCCAGCAGCCAACCCAAAGCATTGCAACTCAGACCTGCTGCGGTGCCACATGGGATCGGCGGTTTGGTTCCCTCCTGTTCCCCCTTCTCCTATGGGCCAGGCTTCCCAGCCAGACTACACCTCCCATGATGTACTGTGGCCAGGGACGCCCAGGAGACAGCCACCACCCCTCACCACAGGGAGACTGTGGTGCGTCATGGGAGCTGTAGTCCAACCAGGGAGCCAGGCCTCGGGAGGAGACTGGGAGGCACTGCAGTAGCGTTTCCAAATCGGAAACTGCGGGTGTTTCCATTTTTTGCCAAGAGGCCGGAGATTTCCCATGGGAAGAGCCTGTTTTCCGTCCGGCAGCTCCCGCTTTGCTGCCCCGAACATGCCAGGGATGGGCACCGGGCAGGAGCTTGCGGGCACATACCTTGGTAGCCCACGAAGTAGAGCGAGTGCTTGGGCTTCCCGCCGATGATCCCGATGCAGAGCTCCAGCTTCAGAAGCTCCTGGAGGGGGATGGAAACACAGGGTGGGGGGCTCAGCCTTGCTATTCACTTCCTGCTGCCCCACCGCGGCCGCAGCCCTGCCCCCAGCACGGGCCCTGGGGCGGGCATGGCCTGCCGAGGCACAAAGCAGGGATCCATGCAGCTAAACGTGGGGCTGCTCTCCACTATGGAGCTGGACGGGGGCGTCACCGAGAGGACTTCCAAGGAGACGGGGCTTACCCCAGGGCCTCAGGAGGTTCCTACACTGGGCCGTGTCTCGAGGCAGCTTGACGTACCGTGCCAGAGCAGCTGGCAACACAGGGACTGAGAGGAAGGACGGGCAGGGTGCTAGCCTGGGACTTGGGAGACCCAGGTTCAATTCCCAGCTCTGACAGACTCCCTGGGGCACCTCTGGACGTCCCTTAGCCTCTCTGTGCCTCAGTTTCCCCATCTGTGCCATGGGGATAATAGCATTGCCCTGCCTTTCGGAGAGCAGTGAGGAGAAATACATTAGAGATTGGGACAGGCAGATACTTATGTGATGGGGGCTGGACAGCTAGGGACTGCTGGACAAGTCCTGCCTCCCATTCCTTCCCCCACCAATCAGGGTCCCCCAGGTGTTCAGGCCCCACCCCTGCCCTACCTTCACACAGTCTACGTAGACAGGATTGAGGGTCTCCCCGCCCAGGCGCATGGGCACCAGGATGATGACAGCTTTCCGCTTGGCGCCAGGATCAGGCACGGTCCGGCCGTCGCTCCCCGACACCAGCCTCACCACGTCCCCTTTGTACACTGAGCGTGTCACCAGACAGAGGGGAGGGGGGTTAGTCACTGGCAGCCTGGCACCACCCTAGACACCAGTAGGGTCTGGCTTCTTCTGCGGGGGGGGCAGGAGGGGGTCAGATCCTAGCCCGGGGCAGGGAGAGACCCCCAGCCTCTAGGTGTGACACCCGAGAGTCAGAGCGCCCCCTAGCTCGGGTGTCCGTGGAGCACATCGGTTTTCAGCCACAGGCTACCCCATCACCACAGCACCAGCCTGGGGCAGCTCACCTGTGCAGTCCTGAGATACGTAGACAGCCAGGCTGCTGCCTTCTGAACAGCCTTCGACCGCTTTCCTGCAGGAGATGGAGGGGAAGAGAATGAGCGTCCTGCGGCCTGGCCACGCCCCAGCCCAGCTCCGCAACTGGGATCGGAAAATGCCAGGCTCCGCGGGAGTGGAGATTGCAGGCCGCAGGCTTGTGCTTCAGGAGAGCTCCCATGTCATGCCCAGGGCCGCCCCGGTGGAGTCAGCATGGATTGATCCCCGGTGCTGGGGGCCGTCATCAGCTCACCTGACAATGTGGGCCGCAATGGAGGGGCCGTACCAGTCCCCGGCTTTCTTCCCTGAGCTCCTCCCCAGCTCTACCAGCCGGTGGATGCCGAAGGGTGCCTGAGGGTGATCTGCGAACCATGAGACGATCGTGCGGTGGCTGCGCTCCTTCTCCAGCTCCTGGGGGCTAAGGGGGCACAGAGGGGCCCAGATGCCCCAGTGGTCCCTGCCTCTGTCCACGGCGAGGGTAGGCAGCTGCTGCAAGCCAATGCTGCCAGGCCGGGCAGGAGAGACAGGCTTCATGGGGTCCATCTCCACCAGGCTGGTGGTGAACAAGGCATCGGGCCAGGTCCAGTCTAAGAGTAACAGGAGAGGTACAGGCGACGTGTCCCACAAGCCTGCCCTGGGGGGCACAGGGTCCACACGTGGCATGATGCCAATACCCCTCTCCAGGGGCCAGAGCTCAGCCTGAAAGTCACTCATGGAGTCCAGGCCAGAAACGCACTGTCCTCCTGGAGAGCCGACTCCTGGGTTCTGTTCCTGCCCCTGCCACAGTTTCCCTCAACTGTAGGGACTGCAACCTACGTTGTGAAAGGCTGAGTGCTCTAGGGAGGGGCTAGGCAGGGTATTACCAACAAAGGGACATGACCCAGGGTGCTCGGAGCGCCGGCTGCTCCCTCCAACCCAGCAGCCAGAGCAGCTGTGGCCTGCGCTGAGCATGTGCAGTGTCTTGCCCCTAGCTCTTGGGGCAGGAGAACTCTCCCCCGCGGGCAGACGGTCCCACTGCCACCTCCTGCAGGGTGTCTTAACCCTTCCTCTGAAGCTCCTTTACCCCTCCTACATGCCACCCCCCAGGGCCTGGGCACGGAGCCGGGAGCCCTGGGCACATGCTGGCCAGCCTTGGATTTCTGCGGCATCCACCAGCAGCCCCTGTCCCCACACTCACTCCTGCCGAGGAAATGCATGAGGAGTCCCTGGGCGAGAATCATCTGCCCGCTGCGCAGCATGCAGCCCCAGCCGCAGTCCGTGGTCCACACGGTGCCCTCCAGCTGCTGGAACTCCCGGCGGTAGGTGAGCCAGATGCGGGAGGCAAAGTCCTTCTGGAACCGCTCCACGTCCTCTGCAGGAGAGACCCCCACCCGCGCCTAATCAGCCACAGCGGGGAAGGAGGGACCCCTGT